ACCGCGCGCAGCGCGAGCGGCGGGCAGGCGAGCGGCTCTCGCGCTCCCGCTCCGGCTCCGGCTCCGGCTCCGGCTCCGGCTCCGGCTCTCACCCGCACACACGCTCGTCCACACACGCGCGCGCGCGCACACCCGCACACAGCCGCCCACGGCGCGGGGCACCGAGGCGGGGTCCAGCGAGCAGAAGGCGCCCCGCGCCCGATCCCTCGCCCACTCCGGCGCCTTTGCGCTCCGCAGCGGCGCGCCTCGCCTGGCGCCTCCGCCGGTGCTGCCGGAAGATGGTCAACGACCGGTGGAAGACCATGGGCGGCGCTGCCCAACTTGAGGACCGGCCGCGCGACAAGCCGCAGGTACGCACGGGCCAGCGGCGTGGCGACACTCTGGGCTCGGGGCTCTGGCTGGTGGGGTAGGTGCCCGGCTTGGTGCTAGAGTTTGGGGAGCACCCCTGCGTGGCTCTGGAGGCCGTGATCAGGGCGGGCGCCCTCCTCACCTCCTTCTCCACAGAAGGCTTGAACTTGGGGTTCGGGTGGGGCAGCACCCCTGCAGGAGGGAGGGCCCCCTTGCGCCTCCAACAGACTGGCCGTTTACATGTGTGCAAGGGAGTAGGGGACCTTTAGTTCACAGTGATACCAGCCCTTTAGTTCGCTGAGTGGCCTCTTACAGAGTCTGTTTCCTTGCCTCTACAATGGGAATCTTACCCACTTGCTAACTAAGTCTCTACCCGGTGTGCCACCCTGTGCCAAGCGCCTGGCATGGTAATCTGAGCTTCAGTACCAAGACTCGATTCCCTTTCTCATCTCTTCTGAATCCTCACACTTTAGCCAGAGCCCCAAAGACAGTAGAGGATCAGTAAGTATTTGCCTCCTGTGAGAATGCTGGGTGTGGGGGTTCTCCAGCTTTGAGACAAGGGGAGCAAGGCTCAGAGAGGGCTGCTACCTGCTGGAGGTGACACCGCTCTGCTGGGATTTGAACCTGGGTCTGTGGGCTCCAGGTCCGTTCATTCTGCCCTTAGCTGCCTCGTCAGGGGCAGTGGAGGTGGGCAGGCTTGGAGGGTGCCCAGGGCTGAGCACCGGAAGGGAGTGAGGGCAGAGCCCCAGGGCTGGCCGGAGAGAGGGTTGGAGACAGGAGGCTGAGCAGAGGTGCAGCCCTGGGGCTGCTCCAGGCCAGGCTGCCAAGGGACTGGGGCAGGCAGGCGAGATGAGGAGGCCTGCTTGCTGACGAGAGGCCGAGGAGAGGAATTAATGGGGCTGCCCGTTTTAAATTTCAAATTTCTCCCAGGCAGATGCCATTGGGAAAGGAACAGTTCGTGTTTGCCGTGGCAGGAGTGGGGCGGCAGGGGTGGGCCTTGGCGGCCCCTCACTCTCAGAAGCTGCAACCTGCTCATTCTGTCTGGAGTGACACTGCCATGTTGTGGGGGCCCAGCCCTCTACAGTTTGCAAAGCTCTTTCTAAACGCTTGCACAACCTCACTCCCCCCAGCAACCTGGGGGCGAGGCAGGGATGCACGCTCCCGTGATGGGGTTGGTGGCTCAGAGCGGTGGAGGCATATGCCCAAGTCACACAGTGTATTAGCGGGAGAGCAAGGATTCACAGCCAGGTCTGACCCAGAGCCTTTCCCAGGGTCCCTTGGGTGGTCTGTTCTTTGTTAGGTCAGGTCCACACCCAAGCTATCCCCAGGTAATGTCTTCTCTTGCTGAGATCTGACTTTCTCCCCTCTTAGCAAGAGCAGCCTTACCTCCTAGACTTGTTCAAGGTCATCCCCGTTCTCCCTTCCTATTAGTCCCCACACAGGTACTGACTGCTTGTCATTTGCCAATGACAATGACCCACACCAAGCTGCCCATTTCCAAACCTTTGCTGTCTCATCTTGTTGGCTGCACTAGGCTCCCCAACACACACACACACACACACACCCCTTCACTCAGGGAAAACCTACTAAATGCCACCTCCTCCAGGAAGCCTTACCTGATGCCCACTGGCTGTGTCTTGAAGTCCCACCAGCATTTAATCTGTGTTGCTCGGCTGCCTTTACTGCCTTGTGCCTTAGCCCTGAGTCTCCTCTAGCAGGAGCTCCCTTTGCAGCCCCCATCCGGGGTCTCCCCCTGGACCCAGGCTCTTGTCCTTCCAAGCAGATCAGGTTGGTAGCTGAGGGATATTTGCAGAACTGAACTACGTGACGCCTCGGCCAGGAGGAGCTGTGGGAGAGGAGCCAGCCAGTGTTGCTGTGTCTCAAGGGGAGGTTGCTTTTGGGGGATCTGTTTGAAATGTGGCTTCAGGGACTCCTGGACTAGCCCAGCCTCCCTCTGCTGCTCCCTCGGGACACATAGTCCAGCTGCCATCAGGCCAGGGTCCAGCTGTCTGCCCCTTGCCATCAGAAGCAGCTGAGGGCATGTGGCCTTGGGGTCCTGGGCCAATGTCAAATGCTGCCTTACCTCCGTGCTCCTTTGGTGACCCAGCATGTAGATAGGCTGTCTCCTGTGCCAGCTCCTGGCTTTTCTGAAGCTTCAAATAAGAGGCAGAGCCTTGTCTATGCCATTGTTGAAAGAGACAGCCTTGACTGCCCTTCTTCCCTCCTGCCCTGCTTCTAGTTTTATCTCAGCCATGGACATGCTGTGTGGCTCTGGGTAAGTTACTGCCCCGCTCTGGGCCTGGGCGTTACCATCTGTAAAATGGAACAGTGATCCCTGCTTCCTCCTCACTTCACAAGGGCTGTTAGGAGGGCCAAGTGAAGTACCGGTGTGTTTTGCAAACTGTAAAGCCCTGTGCCTGGGCACCCTTCAGGAGGGTGGTTCTCAAAGCAGCCTGCCCCCTTTCACAGGCTGTCCGTGTCCTGATCACCCCTCTGCCCACCAGGGAAAGGGATCTGACCGCCCAGCTCCCACCAGAAGGGCCTGGCTGAGGTTCTTGAGTGGGGTCCTTCTTCCAGAATAGATGCCAGTGCCACAGCCTGAGCACCGGCCAGCCCCATCTCCGCAGTTCTTGTTTCCTAGTCACAACCACTCTGGAAGGTTGGCAGCGGGGTTGATTGACAGATGAGGAAACTGAGGCTAAGAGAGCTGGAGCTGCAAACCAAACCTGGGTCCTCCCAGGTGGGAAGACGAAGGGAAGAGAGGCTGGCTGTCCTTGCCTCGTTCCGCCTGCTCAGCCACATCATGTGATTCCTGGGGAGCGGGCTCCAGTGTCCGGTGCCTGGACACTCACAGTACCTACTGCCAATGACGGGGCTGTGTCCAAGCGTCACCTTTTCCAGGGACTGCCTCGGGCTAGTCTCTCACAGGCCCTTCTGGCCTCAGCTCCTCATTTGCTGGGTGACCTTGGACGAGATGCCGGCTTCGTTAGTGCATGCCTTCTCCCAGCGCAGAACAAAGGGGCTCGTGCACCCTTGGGCAGCAGAGGACAGTGGGATATTTGCCAGGAGTTTGGAGTCGCTCAGATGAAAGGACCGAGAAATAGACATGGTTCTTCTAGCTGTGGAGTGTGGGGAAGGAAGTCACCCTGTGACCGTCTCCTCCGGGGCCTTGTTTCTGAGCAGTCCCCAAGCCAAGCCACCCACCCCTCAGGGAGGTCCACGTCTGACCTCTCCGAGGCAATGTCTCTTAATACTTTCAAAGCTTCTGAAACACATTCCAGAAAGAATAAGAATTCTCACTGAGAAGTTCTCCCTGATGTCTAACCTGTATTTAATTCACTCAGTGACACACAGAATCCTGCCTTAGCTGGGAGACACAGCCCGCCGTGAACCTGTGCCTCAGGGAGCTTAGAGTCTCCTGGGGGAACAAACCCACCAGTCAGGTGTCATCACAAAGCATGATGGGTGTGATGATGGAAAAGACACCTCTTTCCTCTTGGTCCCAGGGGTGTGGGCTGAGGTCGCTGTTAGGCTTGGTTGTCTTTCCTGAGCCACTCCTCTGGGCCCCGGCTCTGCCCCGCGGAGCTCACCTCCTAGCCAGTGCCGTGGCGGTGATGGAGAAGGCAGCGGCGGGAGTGCAGGAGAGTGCTTCCTGGAGAAGGTGACGTTTAAGCAGAGCAGCGTTTACCAAATCTGTCCTTGAGGGAAAGCAAGGTGCGCGGGGTGAAATGAATGGGACCAGGCAGGTGGAGAGCACAGGTTGTGGGTGGCAAGAGATGGGGCTGGGAGCTTGGTAGCGGGAGCCTGCAGGTGTCCTGGGCCAAGGGCTCAGAGAAGAGGCTGGCAGGCCCTCTTCCCAAGTCTTTGGGACCCCAGAAGCAGAACAAACAGCCCTGAACTCTAGGGGTTCTCCAGGGCCAGGGGGCTCCAAGTTCAGCCCAGGCCAGGAGCCGGTGAAGATGTGGGCTCCTGGGGAGAGGTGAGGCGGCCTCCCCGGGGTCTGGGCCTCCTGCCCTCCCTCTGAGCCCATAAGCCCCCCTGAGAGCTGCTGCCAGGCCCTAGACCACACACCATACACTCTTGTTTCTCCCAATCTGAGGCCCCACAGCGTGTTTCCATCATGAACAGCCCTCCTGCCTTTGGCTGGGGTGCTCCTAGGAGATGGGGGCTGGGAGCGGCTTGAACCTGGATCTCAACTTGCCTGGCCTCCCCCTGGAGGGAGACTTTCTTCTTCCTACTTTGGTAATGGGATATAGTCTCAGTCCACCCAGAGGACGGCTGCCGCCCAGCTCCCTTAGATAACGAGGCAGAAGGCCGGGTGCGGGCTGGGGCTGGATTGGCCAGCTGAGCACCGAGCACCCACCGAGGCAGGGAGCCCCTTCCTCCTGAACCCTCCTTTCCTCTGCCAGACCCCACAGCCACTTCTGGAGGCTGGGGACTTAGGGGAGGCAGCCGGGACAGATGCCACCCCTCCACTGAGGCACCTCTGCAGCTTCCTACCTCCTGCTTCCCCTGGCACGAGCCCATCTTGTCCTCCCCTTGGCCAGGACTTCCTGGGCAGCCACTGGCACTGGGGATCACACAGGGGACGAAGTCACGGCCCTCCAGCTGGGAGCTCACGCAGGTGGCTGAGGTAGCAGGGGGCTCAGGCCTGGGGCTCCTGCTCCACTCGCGCCCACTGCCCGGGACACCTTCCCAGGCGCCACTCCTCAGCCCCGGACCTGGGACCTGTGTGCGCCCGCCCGCCTCCGGCAGACCCAGGGCGTGTGCCCCGCTCTGCCACGGCCACAGGCTGATTAATAAGCTCCAGCTCGTGGCACGCTCGGTTGGGCTGCTCGCTGCCCAAAGCCTCCCTTATTGTCTCGGGCAGATTTCTTTGCGAGGCACGTAAACGGCAGCCTATAAAAGCAAGCAGTACTTCATTTTAAGGTGATCTCTGAAGACTAATTGTCCTCTGCTGAGTGGCCTGTTTCATCTCCAAGCTCCGTGGTCCCCCTGCCCCTCAGGGGCCCCCTGCAGCTTGCTCGAGCCCCTCCCCTCCTCTGTGCCCTCTGCCTTCCCACCAGAGACCAGGGGCTTGGGTGGAAGCGGGTGCCTGAGAGGGCCGGGGGCCTGGAGACACAGGGGGCATGGCTGGCCACTCTGCCTCGCCGGCTGGGGGCCGTAATGCTCTTTAGTTGGAGGACATCGCTCTGAACTGCTCAGGGCAACGTGTCTCCCGATGGACTCCGGCCTGACAGACACTTACTTGCTGACACAGAGCTTTGTCTCTCAAACCCCAGTCACACTCCAGGTAGAGGAAAGGGCATTGTGGGGTCGCTCAGCGAGCAGCCTGGACACAGATGGTGCGATTCCGGAGTCACCCGGCCCTGGGTTCAGTGCTGGCTCTACCATTTGCCTCCTGTGTGACCATGGCAAGGTCTTCCGCTTTCTGAGCCTCAGTTTTCCCATCTGCAAAATGAACCCACCCATAGCAGGAGGGGTTAGTGGTTGGAACACTGTGCGTAGTCAAGGAATGGCAGTGGTACACGGTGCCCGCTGGTCCGGCAGCTGCTGGCCTGCAGTGACTGGGGAATCGGGGCACCCTAGGGCATGTCTTCATTCCGTGTCAGGCCATCAGAGGTGACACAGGGACAGAGGCGGCCCTGCCCCGGGGTCCAGGCCTCAGCATGGAGGTCATGGGCCTGTTTTGCCAAGCCGTGTCGGTCCTGGAGCCGCCTCCTCCTCCCCACGCCCGCATCGCCAAGGAGAAATGAGTTGGTCCATCTCCTCTTCTGTCCACCCAACAACCAGCTGCCCTGCACCAGGGGGTGAGCAGGGCCCTGCCCTGGGGGGGGGGCTCGTGGTTCAGGGCAAGTTTCCCGGGCCTGGGATCGTCAGCCTCTGAATACCAGCTTTCCCTGTGCACACAGCTTTCATCAGGTTCCCAAAGGGATCCAGGCCCCCAAAGAGGGTAAGAATCACAGCCCATGGGACATGAACTTCCTCCCTCAGGGCAGGGCTGGAGCCTGGCTCATGAGGTCACCAGTGAATGCTGACTAGATGTTTGAATGAGTGGGATGAACTCACAGGAAATGACTGTCTTGATAAATACCACCATGTGAGGAGAAGGGCTGTTGGAGCACAGAGGGGACCCCCTCCCAAACTGGGAGCAGGGCTGAGGAAACAGTCAAAGAAGGCTTCCTGGAAGAGGTGGCATCTAGCTGAGCCCTGAAGGAAGAAATCGAGTTAGGCTGGTGGAAGGGAAGTGGGGAAATGGGTGCCTCGGGCCGAGGGAGCAACCGTGCAGAGCTGATCGTGTGCAGGTCTAGCCGTGAGGAGCCCTGATGGGTGTGCTCCCCGCTGCCCCCCGGGCCTGTGCGGGGTGTAGAGAGAGGAAGGGTAGAGCGAGTCCTGGGGGCAGAGGCCCCATCACTGCAGGGACAGGCTAGGATTTTCTTCCTCATCTCACCAATAACACAGACGCCTTCCTTGGGGGTCTGCTGTTCTACCTGCCCCATCCTCCTCTGGTACCAAGTAGGAAATTCAGGAGTTACTTGTAGAATGTGAATTTATGGAAAAGAAACTGTTTGCTCTACTGTATTTTCTTGTAGTAAGACCTCTTACATGATATACTAGGAATCATTATTTTATGCATCAGAAAAAAAGAAAGGAATGGAGGGAGGGAGGGAGGAAAGGAAGAAGGAATGGAGGGAGGGAGGAAAGCTGTTGATCACAGTTGTAAAATGCCCCCAATGTTGGAGGTGTTAAGATGTGAATAAAAGAGAAGGTGCATCCTAGCATCAATAACACAGAGAAATAACACTTTGGGTGGAAAATAAAAAACCAAACACCTCCAGATGCTCTGTGCACATTGATCACGAAATAATAAAAGCCGCTAATATTTACTGCACAAGAACAACGCGCCAGGAGTGGTGCCCATTGCGTCAGTATACTAAGTCATTTAAAGGTGCATCTCCCGTTCAGGAAGTTGAACGTGTGGGGGAAATTCACCCGTAAAGGTGGCTGGTCCTGGGAGGAGGCAGGAGGCTGGGGACCTCATCTGAGCTCTGATTCTCATTTGCTGTGTGACTCAGGCAAGCCCCTCACCCTCTCTGGGCCTCAGTTTCCCCATGTGTCAGATGCTGAGTGGCATTCTCCAAGCTCCTTAGGGCCCTGAGTGATTTGGTCGAGTGAGCCTAGATTTGCTACCATGTCACGGTACCTCCTTTATTACGAGCTGCACATGAGTTCCAGCTTCCTTTGTGGCTAGCCCCCACTGCGCCCCGAACCCAATTTTTACCTCACCTGTCGCCTTCATTCTCTGCCTGCATTGCCTCTTTGCCTGTTCCGGGAAGCACGGCTGCCCTGCCGCCCCAGCCCTCACCTCCTTAGAGGGAGGGTGGCCTCTTTCCCCCTTGGTGGCACTCTGCCACTTCGTATTCTTCGTGCTGTGTATTCCCCCTGCTCTGTGGAGAGTGAGAGGAGGGGGAGGAGGGAGAGAGGATGGCGAGGGGGTGGGAGAGGGGGTGCTTGGGGGGCCACCCTGTGCCTTGGGACTCGTGGCAGCCTCATGAGCCTGCTCAGGCTTTGGGGCTTGGGATGTGGGCGCTCCAGGCTGACAGGGACCCTCAGTGACGGGCGCCCACTGTCCCAAAGCACTCATTCCTCTGTGACAGCGTGACGATTTGTAGCATCGGTGCTGTCACCAGTACAGCTCCTCCCTGAGTCAGCACACCAAGCGCCCATGTGTGCAGTGGGGCATGTCATTGTTGCCCCCGTTTTACAGGTAAGGACACTGAGGCTCAGTGAAATGAGGCCCCTCACCCAAAGTCACCCCTTGGGAAATGGCAGTGTGGGGACCTGAGCCCAGCCCATCTGGCTGCAGAGCTGGAGCGCTCACCCGACCCAGAGGGCTCCGGTGGGGGAAGACGTCCCTGCCCCCGAGCCATCCACGTCGGGCAGGGCGGGCCAGGCAAGAAGAAAGGGCCACTTGTGTGTCCCTGTCTCTCTGTCTCTCATCTCTGTCACTTTACGACTACCCCACTGTCCCCAAGAAGGGCACCCTCTGAGCCCTGCCCGGGTCTCACAAAGCGCGAGGCCCCATCCTGGGCCCCCACTGGGCAGAGCTGGAGGCCCAGGTCGGCCCCTGATGGTGCCCCTCCTTCTCTCTCCTGTCTGTCCGTCTGTCCGTCTCTGTCCATGTGCCCCGGCTGGCCTGCAGCGGCCAAGCTGTGGCTACGTGCTGTGCACAGTGCTGCTGTCCCTGGCCGTGCTGCTGGCTGTGGCTGTCACCGGCGCGGTGCTCTTCCTGAACCATGCCCACGCGCCAGGCACAGCCCCCCCGCCCGTGGTCAGCACTGGGCCAGCTGGTGCCAACAGCGCCCTGGTCACCGTGGAGAGGGCAGACAGCTCGCATCTCAGCATCGTCATTGACCCGCGCTGCCCCGACCTGGCCGATGGCTTCGCCCGCCTGGAGGGTGCCCAGGCCTCCGTGCTGCAGGCGCTGACCGAGCACCAGGCCGAGCCGCGGTTGGTGGGTGAACAGGAGCAGGAGCTGCTGGACACGTTGGCTGACCAGCTGCCCCGGCTGCTGGCTCGGGCCTCCGAGCTGCAGGCAGAGTGCACGGGTCTGCGGAAGGGGCACGGCACGCTGGGCCAGGGACTTAGTGCCCTGCAGAGCGAGCAGGCCCGCCTCATCCAGGTAAGGAGCAGGGCCCGAGCTGGAGGTCTTGGTGGGAGGGTGGGGCTGCTGCCACCAACGGCTAGCCCAGTGCTGGACACTTGATGTCCAGACAAGTGCCCGGCTATCCCTACAGATAAGCCACATGGCTAATGGTGCCAGGATTCAAACTGTGTCCTGCACGCTGTCCTGGTAACCCTGGGTGTTGGTGTGGCACACGTGGCATCCAACAGTCAGGTCAGGTCCAGGGCTGGTGGGGCTTCCCAGGTGCTCCAGCGCAGGTGAGGCCAGCCATGGCCTTCATCAGTAGCAAACCGAGGTTTAAGTTATATCGTCAGTTCATCAGTGGCAAGCCCCCCCCACCGCCCCCCCCAGGCACCCTTCCCTATTCATTGCCATTCGATGCCTGCAGCTTTCCAGGGAAGGAGGTGGGGACCAGCTGAGGGAGCCAGACCAGACCCTCAGCCTGTCCTCACCATCTCTGCCTCACCCACGCCCCGGAGCCACGCTAGGCCCCAGCAAGTGCCGGGTAGGTCTGGGTGGAGAGTTTCTGGCTTGACGGTGCCTGGAGCACAGCAAGAACTATGGTCCTCATAGATACGGGGATTTCAGGGTGGGCATCTCATTAGCCTTACACCATTTTTCAGAAGAGAAAATGGCCCAGAAAGGGGCGGTGATTAATCCAGGGTACAGTGGCCAGGTCAGGTCTGGCACCTGGCCTCCTGGTGCCCTGTCCAGCCTCCGGCCCTGTACCGTCACCTCTGTGACTCAGGTCCTTAGGGACTAGGATGCAAGCTCCGCCGTGCCAGTGGCCTCAGCCCTTCCGGACACCCGGGATGACTAGGCACTTGGTCACCCAACAGCCCATGAGCAATGGACCTTTCCTCGCCCTCTGAAGGCTTCAGCTGGAAAATTACAGCCCTCGTCATCCTGTGTGGGTGACTGATGGCTGGGGTGGGTGTGGGGTGCTCAGCCCCCTTGCTGTTTGCTGCCCCTCAGTCTGCACATCCCCAATCCTCATCAGCAGGGCTCAGGAGACCTCCAGAGTTTCTGGGTGATCTGCCCCCCACCCCCTACCTTGCTCTCCACATGGCTCAGCCCCTGGTCAGCCAGGCCCCGCCCAGGGGCGCCTCACCCTTAGGGCTGGGGTAGAGGATTGGGAGAGGGGCCTCAGGGTCTCTACCGCCCACCCAAGCAGAGGCCTAGAGCTGTTCCCACAAGACTAATAGCTTTCCTGGGCCCAGGAGCACCTTGGCTCACCTGATATATTTACTCCTCACAGGAATGTTTAATTGGACTCATTTCCCAGAAACCCAGGTGATTTCAGAGACCATGTGCGCCGTGCAGAGCCAGCGGCATAGCTCCTAGCTCCTCTTCCTGACGCGCCCCAGACCCTCAGCTGATCAGCCCAGACCTGGGTTTCTCAAAGCAGTGCCAATGGGCACCCCCGTCAGAATTGCCAGAGCTGCTTAAAAGGCACCACCCTCCCAACCGCGGGTCCCAACAGCTCAGCAAGCGCCAGGGTCACGCATGTACACAAATGTCTGAGGCCCCCTTGGCCCAGGAGCAGCAGCAGAGCAAAGTGGGTCTGTCCTCAGAGTTTAAATCCCCAGTGGGGGGCCTGGGGCATGTCAGGTGCTCTCCCTGGCCTGGGTCTCCTCACCTGCAAAATAGGGATGACACAGTCCATGCCATGTATGGGGCTCGGCCGGCGTCTGGCTCCTGCGAGACGCTGCCTGCACTTCAGCGTCTTCTATTATTATGGTGGAAGTGGTTTGTAAACTCAAGTTTCAGCCGTGGGAGCCCCACTGAAAATCCCTTTTGCAATAGTAATCATGGGATTCCCCCCCCCACTGGACTGGGCCCACCGCCTTGTGTTAATAAGCACTTTCTAGCAGCGTAGCCCCAGGAGGTGGCAATCGGGACCCCATTCTACGGAGGGGCCGACTGAGGCCAAGCGTGGCCAGTGCCTTGTCTCAGAGCCGTCAGCAACTCTGATTTCGCTGCCTCCAAAAGCTGCTGTCTCCTCTTGAATGCATCGTGCAGTTCAGTGAGCAGGGAGTGACTTCCCCCCTTAATTCGGGGCATGTGGATATGCACATTTTCAGCTTTAATCATTTGCTGGTTTAAACTGAGAGCTTCCCTGTTAGCAAGAGCGGGCCATGCCTGTGTGTCTGTGTCATCGCAGAAACATGGCCAGAACCCTAGAGACAACCAGTCAGCCCGCTGATCTTTGCTGCCCACACCCTGACCCTCCCAGGGGCTTCAGGCCCCCCCCCCCAGTGGGGCCTGTGTACAGGACGCTGCCCTGAAGCCCAGGGAGAAGTCTGCCGCCAGGAGAAGTCTTGCCCAAACACCCGCCCTGCCCATCTCTGCCTCTCCCCCAGGCCTCAGCTCTCACTGAATCGCCTGCTCGGCACAGGAAAAACTGACAGGGAAGCTAAAAGCTTTGCCGGGCCCCTGCCTCTGGACAAGCCAAGAGTCGTATTTTGTAAACTGCCGGCACTGTATATTTCTATTTTCCTTCCTTGAACAAGCTATTATCTGGCAGGTGACAGGTTCGGTGTGTAAAGAGCCAGCAGGCTTCACGCCCGCTGGCTGGCTGCTTGACGCCCATGACCCATAACCCGACCGCCCGGCCTCATGGCCCTGCAGCCTCCTGGGGAGGAGACAGACCCCACACCCTTCAGGCAGCAGGCACAGTGGAGAGGCCCCGGGGGACAACACTACACTGAGCTACAAACCTCAGGACTGTGATCGCCGGAGCTGTGGCCGTCAGTGGCAGGAAGGATACAGAGAATACCAATGGAGCACTCAGGCCCCAACACATGCTGTCGTGAACCTCCGCCACCACCCACCCCAGAAACACAGGTCCCATTACTCTGGTTCACAGAGGAGGAAACAGGAGTGGAGAGGCTCGGCTGCCCTTCCAGGGGCTGAGTCAAAACCCAGGATCTGCACTAGAGCTTGGGTTCCAACCACGACCCCCGTTGCGCCCCCACCCCGGGCTCCCCGCACAATGACCACACAGCCCTGGGTGCCTTCCTGCCAGTCAGCCCTGAGGAAATGGCCTGAAGTCACACCCAATCAGGGACCGCTGTTTCTGCACCTCAGTTTCCCCATTTCTAACAAGGAAAAGACAACCCAGTCCCCCTCCTGGCGGTGCTGTGGAGTGAGGGGAGGTGGTGACATCAGCCCGCTGTGCAAAGCCAAAGTGAGGCCCGCCTGAGGGAGGGGTGGGGCGGGCGGAGCGTCCCGGGGTCCCCGCCAGTTGAGTGCAGAGTCACCCACCCCTGCCTCACGGCCTCGCTGGGATCAGAAGAGATGCTGGCTGAGACCGTTCTGTAGCCTGGAAGCTGCCTTAAGGATCTGAGTAATGAGGGAGGGCCCTACACTGTGCTGGGCACTTCCCACAGTTGTCACCACTAGTCCGTAGCAGTTGGGCCAAAGAGGCCATGTTAGCCCCGTTTCAAGGCTTGGTTAAGTCCCCGCATCGTGTAACTGGAAAATGGGTGACGGGGTTTGAACCAGCTTTGCCCGACGCCAGGTGCTGCCTCCACTCGCACCTTTAGTCACCTCACTGGGGCGGAAGGCACAGAAAAGAGTGAAGCTGGAGCCAATCTGTCCCCTCCCACCTGAGCCCCCCTCCTCCGAGCACTGGCTCAGGCGGCCTCGGATCCAGGCTGGAGCGGAGCAGGAGCCCACCTTGCTGGCAGGTGTCGTGCCGTGTTCCCAGCAGAGCCCTGCACCCCCTGATCACCCCTGTTCCCCACAGCTTCTCTCCGAGAGCCAAGGCCACATGGCTCACCTGCTGAACTCGGTCAGTGACATCCTGGACGCCCTGCACAGGGACCGGGGACTGGGCCGGCCCCGAGTCAAGGCCGACCTTCAGAGGGCTCCTGCCAGGGGGTCGAGGCCCCGGAGCTGCGCCAACGGTGAGTGGGGGTGGGGTCTGCCTTCCTCGGGCCACCTGGTGTCCAGCTTTGTTCCTCCATCACCCCCACACACACGCGTGCGCGCACACACACACACTGACGAGGAAATGCTGTTGCCAAGCACTTCCTGCTGCCAGGCAGCACCAGCCCTACCTGCACCGTCCTTCGAACCTCCTCACAGCCCGATGAGGCGGGGCTCATTGTGCCCACTTTCCAGGTGAGGAAAGCAAAGCTCACTCACCCAAACCCACCCAGGTAGTGGCAAAGCCAAGGTCTGACCCCAAGGCCTGGGCTCTGGAGCCCAAGTGACGTTGCCAGGTGGACAGAGAAGTCAGACTCAGGGACAGAGAGAGTGGGCGGGGGGACAGGCCCGCCGCCCTGACGGCCTTCCCTGTCTCAGGCTCTCGGCCACGGGACTGTCTGGACGTCCTCCTGAGCGGACAGCAGGAGGACGGCGTTTACTCCGTCTTCCCCACACATGACCCCACCGGCTTCCAGGTCTACTGTGACATGCGCACAGACGGCGGCGGCTGGACGGTGAGTCTCCCGGCTCCCTCTCTGCCCTGCAGACCGTCAGGCCAGGCCCCTGGGGTGACCCAGGCTGTGAGACCCAGGTGCTCTGAGAGGCCTCTCACCAGCCCCCCACCTGGTGCCGGGCCTGCTGCCCTCCGGCCCCCACAGCCAGCCTGTAATGCCGCCAAAGAACTCCACACCCACAGGAACCTGCGTGGGGCAAATGGAGGATGTGAGCTGACCCTTGGGGCCCCCTCAGGAGCAGATATGAGACCCGAGGCCTGTCCACGGAGCCACCTCCCGCTCCCTGAGGGCGAGCCCTCTCAGAACAGCGGTTCCCCGGAGTGTTGGGCAAGGCGGGGTTGGGTGCTGGGATGAGACGGGGCACCAGGAACCTGTTGTTGATGTGAGTTCTAGGGCCGATGCATGTGACTGCTGACTGTCGAGGTATCCAGCATGTGGTGCTTGTGCAGGACATAAAAAAGGGGAGCCCGGCGGCTGGCTGGCAGCAAAGACCCTGATGGATTCCTGTCAAGGAGCCGTCGTGACTTCTTGCGTCCCTGGTTCCTGCCTGGGTGGGAAGTGGGGGCGATGAAAGGTTCGAGCTGCCAGTGGAAGGGCCGGGATGGGGCTGCAATTCAGCCCCTCTGCCAGAGAGGTGGAGAGCATGGTGGTTACACCACAGGGAGTGGGGGGCAGAGGGGTACCGCCATCCACAGACAGACCTGGGTGTGGCTCTCAGTTCTGCTGTGGAATCTTGGGCAAGTTCCTTAAGTTCCCTGAGCCTCCGTTTCCTCAGCTGTGAAATGGGGATACCCATCACTTAGAGGTTTTAACTAAAAGCAGAAAAAGTGGCTGGTTTAAGCAGAAAAGGAATGTACTGGAGGGAGGGAGGCCTGAGAAACCAGCTCAGGGCCACGCAGCCAGGAGCAGAGCCCCCCAGACCAGGCCAGCGGTTGCCTGGTGAGACCCCCATGGCCCCAGGGGTGCTGGAGTGAGGCGGGTAGGCGGGGGGCAAGGTGAACGCAGTCGGAGGGCAGAGCCTGCTGTTAGGCGCCGTGTAAAGCCGCAGAGACTCCCCACAGACCCAGAGGCAGACATACCTCTAAACCTCTCTTCAAGCTCCAGAGGAGAGCTTTTAAATGTACTGGATCTGCGCCTGGGAGCTAAAAGCTCTTTTGTTTTCCAAACTCAGAACATCTGAATTATGGTGTTTGCCTTTGGGATCCCCTCAGTGGGCAGACCAGCACCAGCGCGCCAGCCAGAGCCCCAGAATCAGAGTTAGCGGTTAGGACAGGCTTAATGAAAGACCGAGACGCGAGCCCGGGCCGTGCGTCTTCCACTCCGGTGAACTTGAAGCCGATCTCCCGAGAAGTCAATCAGGATTTAGGGGGAGGCGTGATTCTTGGGTCCCAGGCTTCCGGGGCGATTAGAGGGGAGTGGATGAGCTCAGCCCTCCCACTCAGACACCCGGGCTGGGGCCCTGGAAGAAAGGCCCATTTCGGCTGAGAAGTGCTTGCACCGCCAATGAACGTTAATATCCATTTGGGCTTCCGTCAGAAGCAATCTTTTCCCAGATGCCTCTGGGCATGTGTCAGAATCACCGCCTTGCCACACGGAATCTCACAGAAACTCAATTTTTGTTTGGAAGGGAGCTGGCCGCCGCCTCTCTGGACGCCAGGAACATCCGTCCTCATTAGGTTCCATGTCCAGACTGCCTCGAGCACCGACCCTGGATGGCTCTCCCTGGTGGACAGGGCGCCCGGCGCTGGACACTCCAACTAGAGCCGGCTTCCCAGAGAAACTGGACCGGGCGAGGACGGGGCTCAGCAGCCCTGCCCGCCTAAGGGGCACTTTATAGCTGATATACCACTGCCCTGCCTGGCACAACTCTGGTACCCCTCTAACCCTTGGAGGCTGGCAGAAGGGCAAGAGATTTGTCCAAGGGCACCCAGCAAATGAGCAGCCCGCCTGGGGCACACCCAGGCCTCCTGAGGCCCAGCCTCACCCACGTCTGTGGAACTGACTGTCCCACGATGGCACCCAATGATTCATGCATTTAACTACAGAGCGCCTACCATTGGCCAGAGGACTCAGCAGCAAGCTCCTGGAGCTGGACAAGCTGACTTGTGTGTGGGCTGCGGGGCTGCGGGGGATGGAGGAGCCCAGACGAGAGCCTCTAGAGAGCCTGGAGCAGCCAAGAGAGCTTCTGGATGGGGAGGTCCAAGCGCGGGGGGGATGAGACAAAGGGAACACACCTGCAGAGGTCTGCAGGGAGGTGGTGGGGCTTGTACTGGGCCCGTGGCGGCTCTGTTCTGCTGGTGTATGGAGCTCGAGGGACCTGGGATGCGGCGGGGCAGGCAGGCAGGGGCTGGGTCGCTTGGGTTGTGGGGGCTCCTGAGGCCCTTGGGGTTTCCCCAGGGAGGGTGTGACCCAGACACATGGGGTCGAGGGCCGTAGTGGGTGTGGGGGACAGTTCAGGAAGCGTGAAGTCCGTAGGCCCTGAACTCTTAATGCAGTGGGGATGAGGCCAAGCATGTGCCCTTGGGGTGGGGAGGCCACGGTGGCAGGTGGACACACACCACAAGGTGGCCTTTCAGCTGAGGTGGCTGCTGGCCCTGCCTGAGCTCAAGCCTCCACTCCACACGCACCAAAGGCCACAGTGGCCCAGGTCACGCCGACTATCAAGGCCACTTCTGACTGAACCTGACACACGCACTCACCCTGAGCCCTGCCGCAGACAAAGAAGGGGGGGAGGCAGGAAGGAAGGCCGCACGCTGCTAACCTGCTGCCCTGGGCAAGGGTCTTCCCAGCTGGGCCCAGCTGAGTCGTCGTGTCCTTTGGGAGGCCCCCCTGACCGCCGGGCCGCCCCTGTTGCTCCTTTGCACCCATCACAGGTGGAGCTAAGCAGTCACCTGTCCACGTGTTTCCCATCTGCCCAGCCAGGAGCAGCAGCTCATCACCTGGTGACCGCTGTAGGTCTGGGCTCCACCTAGTGCTTGCACACCGTCGGCGCTCCCTAAATTCTTGCCAAACAAGTTGACTATTGGCATCTTTCGACCTTGTAACTTTACCTCTCTAAGCCTCATTTTTCTCATCTATTAAGTGGGGATAATAGAGTG